TGAATTGAAAAGCCTAACTACAAGTCTATCTATGGCAAAAATTTCAAAATTAAAAAAAGAAGAATAAAGTTGTATTATGCGGTGTGTTATTCCAAAAGCGTCATAAAAAAAACTTTTTTTAGCGTCACATTCACATAAAACTGCATAATAATACCTTACAAAACTTTATTTATTTATTTTTTCTGACGTAGAAACTTTGACTTAAGGATTTTTCTCATCTTTTAGCTTTGCGGAGAGTATTCAAAAGTTTCCAGCAGATGTAAAGCTGCGAAGTGAAACTGTGAAGAAAAGCGTCTTAAAAGCATTTTATTTTGAGCTACAAGCTTGAGCTTATAAAACAGTGATATGCTCTTTTGATTATCAAAGCGGAATGACAAACGCCATTTGACAACTTGGGTCGTTCAGATGGTGGCAGATTAAGAAAATGAAGTATTTAAAATTAGTAAAGGTGAAAAATGTAGGAAGAAAAGAAGGTATTTAACTAGATTATCAACTACTGAATTTACTCAGCGAGCATTTGTTTAGAACAGAGGCGAAAGTTGGCATTTATTGGTTTCCTTAAGTAAAAGATAAAAGGAAAAAACCCAGAAAAAATTGACTCATTTTTGAGCGGAAACTCTGTTAAAGAATAAAAGATTAAAAAATAGTTAGTTTTTCACTGTTCTTCTTCGTCATTCAAACAACAAAACGCTATTATACTTTTTGGTCTTACTCAGTTTCTGAATGCTTTGAAGGAGTCTTGATATTTCTTTCAAAATCACTTTTTTTTTTTTTATCACCATATACTTACTCCCCTTCGTTAGCCGTTCCTACTGTTGGATGAATTCTAAGAGGATAGATGCCAACGACTGTACCGTCCGCCATTTGAAAGCAGAAAGAAAAAATTTGCCAAAAAATGCTGGTTTTTTGGGGAAAACAGGAATGGGAAAAATTCTGATGGCAGGCATTCCAAAATAAGTTCAGTTTTTTTCAAAATTTGCAATACACAGTGCAATCCTGTGCAATACAAAAATGTTATAAAGCTATACCAGATCTAATAAATGGCTTTTGTTGTCCAAAGTAGTTCTAATCAGCAGTTTTTACAGCTGGCATTTAACACGATCAGAGCCGGAAGCCGATAGGAATGCAAATAGTTTTTACACTGAGAATCGTCAACAGTGGGTGAACAATCCGGCAACCAGGTAAATATTAACTGTTTCAGTTGTAGAAAAATTTATCAATTCGCTACCGAACAAAAAATATTAACTTTTTGCGACTTTTATTTGAAGATATAATTTTTTTATCTGTTTCTTTTTTTTTTCTATTTGTATTTTACTTGTTGATTAGCTGAGAAAAGTCATTTTACAGACTAATTTGCTAATAAAAAACCTGTTGCAGTTTTCTTGAATGTTTCTTTAATTTTTTGTCTGCTTAAGATAGTTGACCTAAATTTTTGGTCTAAAATAGTTTTAACAGCTAAAAAAAGAGGGATTAATGCTGCAAACAAGATTCAAAAAATTTTTTAAATATTACTGCGAATCTGAGAATTGCACAGTAAAGTTGGCTGTTAAAAAAATATCACTGAGAAAAGATTGTATAAAATGATAAAAAGCGGTACTAAAAAATTAGGCATTAAAAGCGTATTATATTATTCTTGTTGTTTTTGAAAATGTTTATTTAGTATTACAACTGAAATAAGTTGCTAATAAGTCTAGTTTTCAAAAAGTGCTTAATTTCACAGCTTCTACCACTTTTATCGTTAAAAAAAACCTTACATTGTACTAAGGAAAAAGGTGCTTTTTCTTCCTGTTGTGAAGTATAATAGTCGAGAAGCGAGAAATTGATTTGTTATTCTGCACTTTTTGTTGCACTATTCTGATATAAAAGAAAACAAAAATTAATAGAATGCTATATTAAAAATTAATCATATTGATAAGCAAAGCACAGTTTTGCAAGTTGTTCAGGAAAAATACGAGAAACTTGTCAGCAGCTTTTATGATAGACAAGATTTTTTTTAGAGGTAAGAAGAAGCCAAAGTTTTACTCAAATTTTTTTTTCTATTATATCTTCACCTATAAAGAGACTAAAAAATTTCAATATTTTGGTTACTCTTTTTATAATATACAAACGCATAACTGTTACGCCAAATCGTGCAGTTTTTTACCTTTTATTTCAAAGACATAACTGTGTCGACGCCATAGAAGAATTTTGACAACCATATTTGATTCTTGTAAGCAGTTCTTTCAAAGATGTTAATCATACTAAAGAGTTAAGTTATTTAGATTTCTAAAGGTATTAAATTTGAATTAACAATTACTGTTCTTCATAAAGTCGCTGTTTGCAACATCAGTTTTCTGTACACTAAGCAGTTAGGCAAAAGCCGACCACTTAAGCCTTTATCAAGAAGTCCACAACTGATTTAAAAGAAAATAATTAAGAAAAGCTATTTTATGTTTATTTTCTTTTTTTTTTCTCAAGTTTTCTTCCGGTTGGGATACAGAAGACTGTCTACAATTTTGGTTTCCTTTTAAAATTTCTAGAATTTCCTGCATCAACTGAATTGCATTTTTCCAAAATTTGCTAAAAACATTTGGCAAGTCAGTGTTTTGCGAGAAATAATGCTTTCTGAAGATAAGCTGGCTTTGTACAGTCATTTTTTTAGAATGTTGTTAGTTGAAAATGAGCAAACTGCTTTACATTGAGTGACTTGACACAAATCTTTTTTACTGCTTTACCTTTGCTAAAATGTTATACAGTTGTAGCTTGACATTCTTCTTCAGTTTTTCATTTGTTCAACGATCTGCAAATCTTGCATTACCATATTCTAACTTGGTAGTAAAAGATTATACAGTAATGAAATTACAGAAAATAATGGCTTTAAAAAGAAAAAAAATCAACAGTTTCTAGAGGTCTGACAAGGAAAACTTATTTACTTTAATTTGACTCTTATTCTAATGTTATTTTGTTTCATCGATAAAACGTAGGGAAATGACAGATTTTCGTAAATAACAACAGAGTAATCACGTAGTAAATGTTCCCCATGTCAACTGTTTATCAGAATCTGTTTAGTCAGGTCAGAAATAACCCGAAGCAATATGTTGGAACTATGCCTACATCGTCAACTAAACCACCTATACGTGACAACGATGGAGCGGAAATGTGTAATGTTTGTCAGATAGTTTTCGCTAATGGAAGGCATTTTGGAGCTAAAACTTGTGCTGCTTGTGCCGCTTTCTTTAGGTATTGCACATTTTTTTACTGTATTTTGACGTTCTAATCTGTGGTCAGCGAAATAAGTTTTGCTGCTATTAACCAGACGTTTTTTTACTATAAGGCGTCTTCAGGAGGTCAGTTAGTGACCGAAAGCACTATGAATGTAGAAGATCGCAGCGTTGCGGGATGAAGCCAACTGATTGTACGTTCATTTTCGTTTTTACACAATACTTTAGAATTAGAAAAAGAAAGATCAATTAGTGTGAAGAACAGTAAAGTTTATTATCACATGATGTTGACAGCAGTTTATTAAAGATATGCATTTCAATTTGTATCAATAACTTTAGTTGATAATTAGTATACCGGTTGAGAAGTTTACGAAGATCTCAACCTTATCCTTCCCCGTTTTTGCCGTAACAGTTTTAAATATCAGAAAATCACCTAGCAAAATTGGACGTTGAGGTAGAAAAAGATTTTTTTACACTCTATGATGGAGAAGTTGAAGAAGAAATTATGGAAAAAAGCGCGTAGGGTTAAATAGTATTGAAAAACAAAGTAACAAATTTATTAAAGAAATTTAAACGTGGTATTTGCTTCTTTGAGAAACTGTTGTACAAATATAGATAGAAAACAAGTTCGCCAAAGTTTTGTATTTAGTACCTTCGTGAGATGACGTAACATTCTTATATCAAATGAACTGTTAAAAAAATAAGATAAAAGCTGCACCAAAATGAAAATTTGAGATAAAAATTTTGAACAGTTTTTGAATGACCAACAGTAAATATATAAATAACGAAACAGGAGAGACGATGCATTATTAACTAAATTGTCTACAACAACCCAAGAACGGCACCTATTTCTGTACTTCTATCAGTTAAAAATGTAGAACCACCTGTAGATTTGCAGCATGTTGAAAGAAATCTTTACTGTTCATAACATTTTTGTTGCTTTCTGAGCTCTCAAGTTTGTCTATCGAAGATGATTTGAAAAACCGTGATTGCATAAAGGAAAGTGAAATTTTGCTGAAAGAGCACAACAGTCTTTTTTATTTGTAAAAAAAGGCTTTTATTATTGATGACAACAGTGCGAAACTGCATAATTAATGTGTAATACTTTGTCGTTCTATCTTCTTTGCCGTATTTTTGTAGCATAAATTGGTCACTTGTGGCAAAGAATAACGCTTTGAATTCTGTTTCATTGTAGCATCCGGTTACAGAAAAATCTGCAGAAGATGTCGATTAAACAAGTGTTTGGCTGTTGGAATGCTGCCCTCAAGTTAGTACTTTAAATCTTCATTCGAAATTAAGGAAATATTTATCGCTGTTTAGTTTGCCAACAGTAAAGTGTGTTAAAAGAAATTTTTTACAACTTGTTCATAATGTACCTAAGAAGTATCTAGTAAAAAAAGGTAAACAATTGAAAAAATTAACCAAAGCTAGTGATGGTAATGATCATTATCATTTACCTCAAATTAATTTAGCTTTAATTTTGAGTAAGCTCGAATCGGGTAGCGCAACAAATAGTTAGCGAGCAAAGAACTTCTGAATAGAAAATACACATAAATCATAGAAAATCAAAATTGTATACTCAATTATTGTTGAAAAGTTGCTTATTTTATGTTTTTTGAAATATCTGACTGTTTAAGGCGTACAAAACAAACGACAAAAATTGCAAAAAAGCGATACCAACGCTTCATATGTCGCTCCAAATATAACGAATCCAACACTTCTGGATCCTGGTTATAGCGCAGAACCAATTTTTATAAAACATACCCAATCACAGGTAAAAATTTTTTGAAAGATATATTATTGTTTTTAGTAATTAATAATAAAAAACAGTCCTACTTTGCTGTACTTAGAAAGTCAACTTTTCAAATCTGAGTGTTTGTCAATAATTTAATATGATCAAAATTTTGTTGTTGCTATTGTTGAATGCTTCCGATCTTGTCAATTTCTTGCTGTTCAACAATATGAAAAAAAAAGTGAGAAATATGCATTTCTTTGATAGTTTACTTCATTTTGGATTAAGTTTCTTAAACTTTCATCTTCTGTTTCATTATAGAAACACTGTTGCTTTTTTCAGCGACACAACACGCCGTCACCTTATATGATAGGATTGTGAATCGCTGTTCTCGATCTGCACAATACGGATATTACAAGATGCTGATAAACATTTTCAGAATTCTAAATTTGTTCAGGTTGCACTGTGTAGGTACGGAGAATAACCATAAAATTGTTATTCAACTGAAAAAAAAAAATTATGTAAAAAAAATTTGTGGATTAAAAATGCTATTGTTATTAACCAAGTAGCTCCTAAATACCACACCATAAACAGTTAAAACCTTTCATTTTGGCTCGGCAACGACTGAAAAAAATCCGTGTTGTAAATCAAGTCAGAAAGTTCTGTCATTTTAACGGTTTACTGATATTTTTACAACTTTCACAATTAGATCTCGTTATTGCCAAAAAAAAAAAAAAGTACCGTCGATTAACATTATTAAAAAACAGTTTTTTCATATGAATTGTATTTAAACGATATACCAACTTTGAACAATATCACAGCGATCAGCTTCAATAAAGAGCCTTACGATCTGCAGATAAAATGACTATTAAGTAACAAAGTACTGGTTGAAAATCTGTGATAAACTGTGCACTGCAAAATTAATTATCAAAAAATTTACTTTGGCTAAAATTTGCTATGCTGCAGATCTTTATAATATATTATTTATTTTGTTCACTAATACCAAAATAATTTGTTTAACTCCATTTGAAACATTGAATTTGACAAATAGTTTAAGAATTTATTTATTGCTTATTTCCACTGAACAGATATTTTTTGGCATATAAAGTCAGGTAGATAGTTGTTTTTTTTTCTTTCTGTGAAACCGGTTACAAACAACAATAACAACAACAAGAAAAGCAACAAAAAAAAAGTAGATTTGTAAGTGAAATACGATACAACACATTGTTTTCTGTTAAGTAACTATTGGAGATATATAAAAGGCATATATCTTTTTTATTGTAAAATTTTTCCAGTACTTTATTTTTATGAAAAATTTGAACAAAACTTTTGTACATCAGGAAAGCACAATTTTAAGCTGTTCAATTTTGTCGTTCTGATTGCTCTGTTCTACATCTGTACCAATATTTCATCAACACCAAAATCATGAAAAGGCATGACAATTCTGAAATCATAAAAACATTAAATAAAAAAATCATCAATCTTCTCCATGTTGTTACTATGCACAAAAAAAAAAATGATTATTTTTGTTTAAATGAGGTATTAAATTTTGCATAATTTATTTATCGAATTGAAAAAATAGGCTATAACAGTGGTATTGTAAAAAATAAACTTTTTTTTTTTTTGTTATTATTCGGTTTTAATGTAGCGAAATGTCAAAAATTGTCTAAAAATGGTGGTGTCAAATGTGCAACAAACATAGTCCTCATGTGATCTCAGCAACTACGCTGTTGAGAACAGCAGTTGAAATATCGACATTAATCAAATAAGCAATTTTTTTGTTATAAGTACTAGATAAATTAGAAGAAAAAACTGTATTTTAGATCGTAAATAAAAAAAAAAGACATATTATTGAAAGTGTATTAATAATTCTCAAAAGCATACCGTTGACACCGGCAATAACGCATAAACTGAGATCAATCCATGAAAAGTTTTTAGCCCATTGACTAACACTGAATGTACTGCATTGAAACCACTGCGCAGATTCTATTCCAAAATATGCTATAGTAACCATGAGTAAAACCGATATAATACAAAGACCCAAAAAGTGTATAAATGCTGGCCAATGAAGATTTAATGCTCGTACAGAAAATAAACCGACAAATGAAACTACCTGAAATCTTTTTATGCAAATTACTGCATTGATACTGACTACAATTTAAAGCTCCTAATCAGCTGTTTTTTCCCGTCTTTATTCAAATACTTTTAGTTATCAAAAAAAAGTAATTTTATCCTTTTTA